CGGAGATGGTGTGGGCTGTGGCTGTTCTTTCCTTTTTGGTGCTCCCATATTCAGTTTGTCCTGCTCCCAGTGAGGCTTTTTGGAGGCAGTGTCCTTTGTTGTTCCGGATGACACCTTGTATATCTCTCTCTCGACAAGGTTTGTAGCCTTTGTTCCGGTGACTGTCGAACTTGAGAAATTTGGTGTAACTCCTCTCTGACGCCGACTTTGCCTCAATACCGGAGTTGCATCTTCCCCGCCTACCACTGCCGGAGTTACAATCTGTGGGTTGTCTGTAGAGGTTTCAGCTCCTTCCTCTTCTGAGGCAACATTCATAACTTGCCGTTGTATACTTTTGTTGCCACAGAATTGGCCATGGTCGCCAGTTGCCAGCTAAAATAAAAAAGAATTCCAAAAAGGAAGATTCCATCTGCCAGCTAACTGACTACAATCGCATGAGATTGACTACGTGGCCATGAAGTATGGTTTAGCATTGATTTCTATTTTAGCTATCGACTGTGGACTGACCAAAACAAACTCGGGAGTAAAAGCGGGTGGTACCTCCTTTTAACAACAGGGATTGATATTGTGTGTTCTGTTGTACACAGTTTGGACTCATGGGTAACCGAACACCCGAACTTACTTGGCTGGCTATTGAGACTTGCTAGCTAGCTAGCTAGCTAGCTAGTAGTGTGTCCAGTGGAACATGGCAAAGGATTTGGCCATCTCTTTTTGACAGTTGAGGGCATCAGCCTCCCGCTGCTTGTTCTAAATTCGATGAAAGGTTATCGTACCGCTACACTATCTCAACTACAAACAGTGTTTTCATCGACTCCAAGAATAATGATTGTCTCTACCGCTTTTTCCTTTTATTTCCCGTCTTTCTCCGAGATTTTGGCCATGGCAGTCAGTCTCGGAATGACTTGGTACAGCACTCTGTTCGGAAGCACTTGGGTGGAACTGATTTGCGAAAACAAGGGTATCAGCGGCAGTTCCAAGGATAATACCATGGAAGAATTCAAAATGGCCACGGAGAAACGGTGGCCCTATCCCGTCCACTACTGCTACATTTCCTCGATGTTGTGCAACATTGTCAAGTCTTGGTTCTTGATGCATTGGTTTCATGCTTTGGAGGTTACCTTTTTGGCGGATGCCTTGAGCGTCGCCTTGTGCTGGTCCACAATCCATTTGGTCTCTGTACATCATTCCTTTTGGAAAGGCGAGAGAATGGAGCTCATGGCCATTGATTGTGCCTTTGGGGTGACCAGCTGGGCCATGACGGCGGTATTCCTATCCCAAATTCCGCGACCATTTGGATAATTATAAACACGTATTTTAAACATCGTTGGTGGTGTCTATAAGTTTGGCGATGTCATGTGTTCATACTAATGACAGCTGCATCACATCATAGATAGAGCTATCGTCAGGATGATCCCAAAGAACTCTTGTGTGTTGTTCGTTTTACGGCTGAAGCCTTCCATCGCCTTCTGTACCCCGTACACGAGTATGATGCGAGAAGTCTGTGGAAAAGGTCATTCTTAGAATGCCATTCCATTCTATAGAATCAGTGGTTTTCATTCTATAGAATGGGATGGGCACAGAAACATCACAGCACGGCAACAGCAAGAGCAACAAACAACACCAACAAGACAAGGTGTCAACACATGGTGTCGAGCGACAGCTCATCGCTAATACTACTCAATGGCAATTAGGTAAGTCTATTATCCAGTGTGTTATTGAAGGCGGGGCATTAACTTCTCTCCCTCATTGAATTCATATGGTAAACAGGAGAGAAATCCAAGCTTGGCCAACAACAGTGTGCTGAATTGATCAATCGAACGACTGGTGTCGTACGAAGTAAGCCTATTATCAAGAGCGTTATTGAAGGTGCAGATCCGAAAGCCATTCCTCATTGATTTCTATGGACCGCCGAGAGTTGTGTAGAACAAGAGTAAGTCACCGGGTGTCTGCAGTAACAGCTTCAGTCTTCTCTCCGTCATTGACTTCATCTGGAGCTTGACCGACAATAAGAGTACATTATGTACCGGTATTGTTGAATCGATCAATGGATTGATTATCAAGAGTGTTGTTGAAGGCGCAGATCCGAAAGCCATCCCTCATTTATTTATATGGACTGAGGGAAGGCAGTCAGATCTCGGCCGTCAACAGGCGAGTTGTCATTTATTTATTCGAATGGGATCGTTGCACCTCTTCTATCAAGCCTCACTCAAACCGACCGTCTCCGGTGCAGAACTGAAAGCCATCCCTCACTGAATTCTATGGACCATTGGATGGCAGTCAGTTCTTGGCCGCTGACATTCAAGTTGGTGGAATTTGAAGAGCAACAATCAACCATCAACCATTGTCCACGATCGATCGATTGATCGATCCGGATTACAAGAAGAGAGGAGAGTCAAGTCTGTGGATTGATCCATGCATGGAAGCAGCTCTTTGACTCCAGGCCTTTAACTCCAGCCCTATCACCAGCCGCAATGTCGGCCAATGGCAACAACAGTACTAGTCTACCGGTCACAGAGCAACAACTTGTTCTACAAATTTTCATGTTTTATTCTATAGAATCAGAAAAATAGAAAATGATTCTATAGAATCAAGAGAAAATTTAATTGATTCTATAGATTATGATGCGTGATTCTATAGAAGATGATGTGTGATTCTATAGAATAAGATTTCTACAGATTCTCACATACTTTGATTCTATAGATTGATCTGATTATAGAAAGTATTCTATAATATACCTCCCTCAAGTATTCTATAGAATCAGACCATTCTACAGATTTTCCCCCCATTCTATAGAATAGACTTCTAGTAACAGATCCGCGAATTAGTTCCATCACCTATAAAACCGTCATTATAATGATATTGAATGCTTGTCGCGTGTCCCCAACGCGGAGAAGAAAAGCCAAAGTCCCACCAAGCAGGGGAACTTTGTGTTTCATGCGCAACACTCTGAGCAAGCAAAGTGCTTACTTAGCAGCACACAAACAAACTCTCCTTTCTCCTGACTAGCTAGTTTTCGGACCCGGTAATTGTTGTTGTTTGGTATTCTCTAAATAGTAGCATGGCCAGAAGCCACTACTAAGCAGATAAAAACCTTTCTTCCAGTTCCTGCCTCGTCAGAACACTCCCAAAGATTGGATCGTCCAGCTTTTGCGTCATATCCATGTATGTCATCAAGTTGCTGCTAGCTTTATTTTGGCTCTTGTCGTCGTCATCGTTGGCAGCCTTCGCCTTGTGGGATGCCCCTTGGATGCAGCGATAAGTGGGCGGAGTGGCCATCCATTGTTGCTTGACGGCATCCCACATGTGGCTGCGATCCGACGAAAAATATCGTAGAAACGTTTCCACCGGCACCACTCGAAAGTACGGTGCAATCTTGGCCAGGTCCTCTTTATCAAATTGCTGGGGACCGGGAAATGCTCGGTCCAAATAATGTGCGAGGGGGCATGGGTAGGACAGGTAGGAATCAATATCCCAAATCAAACTTTCACCACCAGTAGTGGAGTTCTTTTGTTGTTCCAAAAGAAGGACATGATAATCCCAAAATATTGGTTTTAATGGATTGGAATTGGCTTTTTGACGAAAGAAACAGACGCATTTGGAAGGATTCGACACAAAGACTGCAAAATAAGCTTGCTCCGTTTTGGCTGCTTGGGACTGTTGGAGCTTGCGGTATGCCAGTCTCCAAACATTCTCTTCACAATAGCACGGTACTCGTAGCTCCTGATCGGAAGAAGCTGATAGTGCTGTGGCTTCGGCAGACGGCTCGGTGTTGTTGTTGGTGGTGGTGGCGGTACCTTCTTCATCCATCATCCTGATGTTGGTTGCAAAAAGTTGATGGCTGTTGGCTCCAAGGTCACGAGCAATCTTTAAACCAGCGATGCTGTGTTTATAGCACACGCTTTGTCATCAATCTTCGCGTACCAGAACAGTTTCCGGTACCGGTACAGCTGTACGCGTACATTTGCGACAACATTTATTTTTCCACTTTTCTGGGGCTCTTTTTGGTGGCTTGCAACTTATATACTGTATTGTGGCATTCCTCCTCATTTCTTCCTCCTCACAAAGAGCCAGAGAAACATGTACAAAAAGTAATTTTCTGCCATGGATGAAGGAGATCCATCGGTAAAGTGCCGCAAAATTTGTGGTGCACCGCAAATTTTTACCAGTGGAATGAATGATAAAATGACTGAAAGGGACAAGCAGGGAATGAGATCCACCGCAAATCTTGCGGTTCTTTGCTGATAGAACCTCTTGAGGGAATTGCGTTAGATTTTGGTTGCATGGCTCCTCAAGATCCTCCTACATTAGCTAGTCCTAGCCTCCTTTTGCTTGTCCGGAACCAGTGAGCCTTGCTTCAATTCGCTCAATCACTTTCATTCCAACGCCGGAACTGCAAGCAATGCCATTTGCTTCAACCTTATGGCTTCTTTCTTGTAATTGAGTGTGGAGTCATACGTACCAGATATCATTCTGTAGGATCTTACTGGTACCGGTACTTGCCTCACTCCAAGAGTTCTCCGTCATTCCAGCTTCAAGTCGGCTTGCACAAGTCGTCTTTCCAGCTCGCTTCAGCCTCGCTTGGAAGCCATGACTGCCATACTGCAACACAGCAAGCAACACTGCCGATAGTAAACCTTTGTTTCGTCGTCGCTTCACGCTATGGTGGAGCTGTTCTTGTCTCAAAGTGGTAATAGCTAGCTAGTAATAGCTTTGAGGACAAGAGATAATTGCGCCAATGAACGATAGCAGAAAGACCAAAAATGGATCCAAGGCATCGGATCGAGAACGAGAAGAATGGTACTCATTGGCTCATTGGACGGTAGCAATTCCGCCTGCCACTCAGGGGACGAAGGGCAGTATGTGGCATCCGCAGACTCACAAGCAGGGGCAGTGGCAAGAATCCCCAACAACATCCTAGAGGCCGAGGACTTGATACGGCTCAAGATGTCTTCGGCGGCGGATTCAACTCAACTAGTAGGCGCTGCCTGTGCTCTCAACGAGCATGGTGTTGGGGCGGCCGGAATCCCCAAAAGTGGCACGGATTCGGAGGCGAAACTGATGGACCACCAAAATCGTGCAGCCACGCGGCAAACAACAACTGGCAGTTCCAATACCACGGACAACCAGGATGGCGGTAGCCTACAGCAGGCTCCTCTACCCAGTGCTATTCGCAGATTTGAAGAACAGCTTCAGAACAAAATACTCGTTGTTGATAATGAAGAGACACCACCGTTCCCAAGCCACAATGAAGTTTTGGGTAGCGTCAGTGGGGCACAAGAGGAAGCGGAAGATTGCACTGTCATTTGGGGGCAACCGTCCAGCACAATGCCCAGTGGTGGTGTCCAAGAATCCGAGGCTTTAATGAGTCTCAAGATTGGTATGGCAACTCTGGAACCAATCAATCATACCAGGGCGGCTAGATCTACCATGAGTGACACTGGCGAGCGGGGTTCAGTCCCCAGTGCCGTGCAGACATTTGAAGATCAGATTCAGGACAAGATTCTAGTTGCTGCTGGGCTACCGATCCAAGAACTACTCCAGAGCGTTGTTGACTCTTCGGCTGGTAACAGTGCTGCAGATTCGACGGTGGATTCCAACCAGTCGCGACCAACTGACGAGTCCAACAGGAGAATGACAGATGATGAGGCAGCTGCTGTAGAGACGAACGCAAGCGTGGCAGCCGCGGGTGGACAGGCTCCAAGACGCGAATCCTTGCCTGGTGCATATCCCATTGAAGGAATTTCCATGTCGAACCGGAATTTCGTTGCTGGAGAGGAAGAGGAGGAGGGCACAGTCATGTGGGGTCAGCCATCCGGTACAATGAGCTTGGGTACTGCCATGAGCATGGGCACAGCAGGTTTTGTTTCGTCAGCATTTCTGGTGGAAGAGAGCAACCAATTCAATGAAGAGACAACATCTCCATTCTCAGATGATCCATCTGGCATCAGCAATAGCAGCCAAAATAACGACGGAAATGAAAGGACTACACCAAAAAGAAGAAGATCAAGTCATTATCGCATGGAGGATCTGGAAGCTGCATTGGATGTCAGACGAATTATGAATCAAGGAGAGGGCGACAACAACCGGCAAAGGCGTTGGGTACTTCATGGTATTCTTGCCTTGTTCCTTTGCATCATTATTGCAACAGGGCTTGCGCTAGGTCTCCGGCAGTGGCCAGAAGAAAACCAGAGTTTTGCATCCTCCATTGATGGCAATTTGTCTGCCCAAGCACATGATGAAGTTGATTACATTCTACAATTTTATGCTCCTTTTGATAATGGTTTGCTGGGACCTATCATCAATGCCATTGAAAACGACATGGCAAGCCCCCATTACAAGGCCAATGCTTGGCTCTTGAATGACCCCAACTTTGATCAATATCCAGATTGGCAAAAGCACCAAAGATTTTCACAGGCATTGGTTTACTTTGCCACAAATGGGGAACACTGGTTCCGAAATGATCACTGGCTTAGCTATGAGATTGATGTCTGTGACTGGTTCTCAAAACACCCTCCTGGTGAAGCTGTTTGTGACGATGAAGGCCATTACCGTATTCGGAACTTGACCAACAACAATCTTCATGGAGAGTTGCCTTTGGGTTTGTACATTCGGACAGTTCGCGTTCACGATTTCTCACATAACAAACTGCATGGGCAACATCCACCTGCACCTCAAGGGTCACTGGAAGTAACAGTGCTATCCAACAATAGCTTCTCCGGTATGCTCACTGGTACTGCTGGGTTGTTCAACACCTCACTTCGTGTCATCAAGTTTGACAACAATATGTTTGAGGGAGATTTGAGAGCATCGGTGAGAGTAACTCCTTACCTGGAATTTTTCAACGCAACAGGGAACAGGTTCTCGGGTACCATCTCAGAGAAATTCGGTGAACTTGCCCGTTTGACATATTTGGGTTTAGGGCACAACAATTTAAGAGGCCCTCTGCCTTCCGAACTGGGACTTCTCACATTCTTGTCTGGGCTTGATGTATCAGGCAATGCTGGGGTTGTTGGATCCATCCCAGAAAGTCTAGAAGAATGCACCAGCTTGGATTTACTGGATGTCTCTAGCACATCTATCTCAGGGGTGATTCCTCAGGAATTCTGTGAGGCTGAACTGGAAGTTGTGGCCAATTGCAGTAGAATTCAATGCTGCTCGCTAGCTCAGTAGCTTGTACAAGACCATTGCTTCAAGCCATTATGCATAGACCTGTATTCTTGTAATTGAGTGTGGAGCCGTACGGTACTAGCTAGTGCCAGATTTTGGAGGATCTTACGATCTTACTGGACCATTGCCTCCCACCTTCAAGAGCTTTATCCTCGGTGGCATACCACCTTCAAGTCGCGCATGCAAAAGTTAGTTGTCCTTTCAAGGTTCATAGACTCGCCTCCTCCCCAGATCGCCCTGACTGCGACTCTGCACCGCTACCGGGATACTCCTGAGTGGACATTGGTTTCGTTGTGGATTCGATTCATGATGGTACTTGTAGAGCTGTTTTTGTACTATTATTAGCTTTGAGAACGAAAGTAAAGACAATGAAGGATAGCAGAAAGACCAAAAGTGGATCCAATACCAATGGATCAGCTGGAGAACGAGGAGAAGAATGGAACTCATTGGAAGGTAGCAATTCTGCCTGCCCCAACACATGGGACGAAGAGCAGACTGCGGCAGACTCACCAACAGCGGCAGTGGCAAGAATCCCCGACAGAATCCTACTAGATGCCGAGGACCTCAAGATGTCTTCGACGGATTCAACTCAACTAATAGATGCGGCTGGTACCTGTGCTGTCAACGAGCACGTTAAGAGGGCGGCAGGATCTCGCAATATCGCCGCCCACAAAGACAATTCGGACGCACGTTTATTGCACGCATTGGAACGCACCCCCAAAAGTGGCACAGAGTCGGAAGATAATATGATGCAAACGACTGGCAGTTCCTGTACCACGGACAACCAAAAGAACAGCTGTAGCCTAAAGCAGGCTCCTCTGCCCAGTGCGATCCACAGATCTGAAGAACGGCTTCAGGACAAAATACTCGTTGTTAATGAAGAGATGTTATCGGTCCCAAGCAACAATGGGATTTGGAGTGGCGTCAGTGGAGCAGAAGGCTTTCAAATGGATAATAGAGGCAGCAGAAACACCAGTTTTCATCAAGTCGGAGACTCAATCCACCGAAATGTGTTCCAAGATGAGACTACTGTTGAGTTTGAGACGTGCAGAAACCTTTCCTCCTCTGAAAACCGAACGGCACGCCTTGAATCATCGCCTGGTGCATTTGCGGTCGAAGGAATAGGCATGTCGAACCTGATTTTCAACGATGGAGAGGAAGAAGAGGATCGCACTGTCATTTGGGGGCAACCGTCGGGTACAATGAGCTTGCGCATTGACGATCCTTGTGTGTCCTCTGCCTTTCTTGTGGACGACGACAGCAAGATTATGGAAGAAGACACAACGGCACGCACCAATACCACCAGGCTCGGCTTCAGCAACCAAGAGTACTTCCAGCCAAACGGTGCAACAACGACAACAACCAGTTTGAGTCAAACATATCGCATGGAAGATTTGGAACCTGCATTGGATGTCCGACGAATTTCGAATCAAGACAATGGCGGCAACAACAATCAGCAAAGGCATTGGCTTCTTCTTGTTATTCTTTCCGTCTTCCTTTGCATCGTTATTGCGACAGGGCTTGCACTGGGGCTCGGGCAACGGCCAGAAGAAAACCAGAGTTTGACATCCTCCATTGATGGCAATAGTTTATCTATCTCAGGGGTGATTCCTCAGGGATTATGTGAGGCTGAACTGGAAATTGTGGCCAATTGCAGTAGAATCCAATGCTGCTAGCTAGCTAGCTAGGTAAAAACAGTAACTTGACAAGATTAAAGTAACTCCAGAAGTAGTGGCCAGCCAGCTAGAGTGCAGGCGCAGGCTAGCTTTGTCTTGGATGGGTTAGCTAGCTAGGAGCAAAAGTTTGCGCACAGCTTGCTGGGATTCTTGTTCAAGTCTAGAGATCTGCATCCCTTTGGAGTCAACTGGGGATAGATTGGATTCGATTCCATCTCTGGAATACAGATAGTCAACGTTCCGGTAGCTGTCGTCTTTTGCTTTCGCCATGTCTCGTCATCACATCAATTGCAGCCGGAAGCGAGCCATTGATTGCTTCCCGCTGGTACGGTGCCCGTTGGTGGCTGGTGACAAAGGCAACGCCATGTTGACGTGGCTCGAGGTTCTTCTCCAAGATAGTTTTCGCAAAGATACCCCTTGATAGCGTGGTTTAATTAGAACTCGAAGACTTGTTTCTTCGCAATAAGCATTATTCCACACGGGTGTCACAGAGAGGAAAATGGTATCTTTGCAAAATATTCGTGGCACGAAATTGACATTCGGAAGAAGCCAATTTGACAGCTGCTTCCAAGACCACGCAAGCAAATGGCGGAAGGAAGGAGCGAGAGACCGCATAGTCAGCATGACCTTGACACAGTCAACAGTCAACCAACATGCTAGTACCTGGTAGCATGTTGTTCAGAACAGAACACTTTCTTCCTCCAGCAGCACGTTTTCTCTGTCTGCTTGATAGCTTATTAGATTAGATTCGAGAAGAAGGAGCTTTCATCCCTCTTCTATCTTTGTAGCAGTCCAAGGCAAAGACAACCCCGAACACGTACGCTGAGTCAGCCCTTGTTGTGTTGAATACAGGGAGACGAGTTGTTACTAACAGAAAGTTAAGATGACGAAAGGATACCTTTTTGCCGCCATGGCGCTATGGGCGCCGACGGCTGTGGCCTACACCGCATCGACCTCTTTTCGACCTCTCACAGACTACCAAGTCCGCCAACAGTACAACCCACAAGACCATAGCGGTATCTTTTCCGGTATTCAGCGTGTCTTTGACTCCATGAACAAGGGATCTTACTACGTTGGTGAGTTTCTTAATACAACAAGATGACACCGTCGATACGGTACGATACGATCTAGCTACCTAGCTAACCCAAGATACCCTTTGCCTTGTTCTCTACTTTGCAGAAGCTCCAGGTGGCACGCAATGGGATGAAAACAGTGCGTCTCTTTGATTCTGTTTTGGGCATTGCCACCGTGTTGTTCTCGGGCGAGAAGGTGGGCAGCTCACCTGATTTTCGTTCTCTTGCTTCCATGTAGACTACAATCCCCAGTTCATGGTACCAGATAATGCTTTTAACGCGTTTGATAACAATTTTCCAAGTCAAGGGTATAATTATCCAATGCAGCAGCAGCAAGGGTATAATTATCCAATGCAGGATCAGCTGCAGCTGGAACAACCACAACAGCAACAGAAATACGAGTACTACAGAAAGCCGACCACAGCCAAAGGTGGTTACAACAACAACAACAACAACAACAACAACAATGCTCGCTCTACAACGTCATCCGACAACTACTACTATCAAACCCAGAAAAACAAGAAGAACAACAATCGACTCAACTTTTACGAGTCGAACCGTGCCGCGATAAACCGTGATGAAGTTGGTGTTGTGAACCCGCGTAGCAAGTACGTCTTCAACAAGAACGACAACAAGAACAGTCAGAACCAGCGAGGATCCAAGTATCAAAAAAATATTGACAACAGGTCTCATTACAACAAGTACGAGCGCGGCAACGATTACCGAAACAGAAGCAACAACAACCAATCTCCCTACTACCGATCCAATCAGTCCCTGGCAAGGAAGGCTTCCTCGCCTGCTCCTGACACACCGTCATTGGGCAGTCAGTATTTTGTCAAGAACAACTACAGTTGGAACAACAATGACAACGCAAAGAATGACTATAGCTGGAGGAATAAGAGGTTTAACCAAGATTACAGTTGGAACAACAGACAGAACAACAACCAAGACTACAGCTGGAACAACAAAAAGTACGACAGAGAGTACAGCTGGAAAGACAGTCAGAACTACAACCGGAACGGCAACAACCCGTATGATCTACCATACTCCTCGTCGCCCAGACGATCTCTGCCACCGGCTCCTCGGCAAGCCTCGCAGTCGGTCTATGCTCTCAAGCCCGACTCTGGGTTGTCCGTCGACAGGCCCAAAACGTCCGTGGACGCGGCCGGGAACCACTACTACAGTGGCGACCAACAACACGTTCCGCGTTCCAACTACATGCCGGCTAATCCAGAACAACGCAACCAGAACTTTGCTCCCGATATGTCGATGATGGAGCTGGCAGCTCCCAAGACCCGAGTCGACCCGGCGGGCAATCAATACTACAGCGGATATCAACAGCAACAACAACAAGACTTTTCCCCGGTATCCAACTATCAGGCTGCAAGTCCCATTGTGGCCTATCGACAACAGCACGAAGAACGATTGAGGCGATCGATGGAGCCAAATCAGCAACAGCCAAGCTTCTATCGACCATCCCGCAAATCGTCGTCGTACGGCGAGCCAGAGTACGACTACCAGGAGCGTTATGGACGTCATTCCAACACGATGGACGAGTCCTCGGGTACCCAGTACTATCAACCGCGTGCATCTTACAGACCACCCAGTGTCAACCAACCGCATTCCAACACAATGGATGGTTCATCTGGCACCCAGTACTTTCCGTTGCAGCCGGATTTCTCCGCCAATTTGTCTCCGGGAAGAAGTACCTACAATGTCAAGGACAACCGTCGACACTTTAGTGACCCAGCCTATCAGTCGCCACGAGCCGACGTCTACCAGAACAGCGAGTATCAGTACATGCGCGATCCCTACGACTATTACAGCGGCAACCGACGTTTCGACTATGGAGTGTACCAAGACAGCAGCAGAAGCCGTCCTGGTGGCAGATATGCATCGCGCCGTCGAAATCGTGATGACGATTCTTCAGGCTGGTGGGGCTGGCTCCAAACGTTGGGTGAGTTGTAATAAGGAGGCTTGATTGGTCATAGTACAACAGTCAAGGCGAAAGAATAGAAAGACAATGAAAGCCGCTCAATTACATAAGACTGCATAGTAGAGAAAGGAAAGATTTTGAAAAGTCGGCCTTGACGCACATTCGTAGACCTAGCTGCGGTAGGAATCCCTTTTGCGAACGGAACAAGCGCAGCCCACCACAACGATGATGCTTGCGCCGTAATCAATTGTGTTATCAAAAAGCAAGTAGAGAGCGTATCTTGCTCTTCGTGTTCGCACAGGACGCTGCGAGATACCGGTAGGATCTCGCACGAGCTTCAGAGTCTTGACCGACCGGTAGCATGGCAGGGGGTGACTCAGACGTCCAACCACATGAGAAACTTCTCATGCTAAATTTCTGACCGCTGCTAGCTAGTCTGCCTACTTGCGTCCAAACTTTAAATTTTTGAAAGGCAACAGCCGGAAAACATGACAAGAGGCAACCGTGCATACATGACAACTAACAGCATCCAACCACGCTGCAATTAGCCACAATTTCCAACTTGGCCTCACACAATGCTTGTGGGACCCTTCCTGAGATAGATGTGCCAGAAACATCTAAGTGACTCAATTTGCTGAGATTTGCAAAGCTTTCTGGAATGTTTCCACTTAGAGCAGTGTTTCCTGACAGATCAAGCCCAGTTAAGCCTGTGAGAAGCCCTATCTCAGAAGGAATAGGACCGGAGACGAATGAATGCCCTATACCCAAGTACTTCATTGTGGGAATATCAGCAATCCTGTCTGAGATGGTACCATAATACCTGTTTCCTGTAACATTCATAATCTCCAGCATCGGAGTCAACCGGCGCGTAAGAAATATTTCACCCTCAAGCTGATTGTTATCCACCTTGACAACACGAAGTGAGGTGTTGTAGAATCCAGCTTCACCAACTATCCTGCCAACAAAGCTGTTGTTTGACAGGATATGTATCTCAAGGCTCCCTCCTTGGATCGCGGGTGGATGTTGCCCATGGAGTCTGTTATGGGAGACATCCATTACCTTTAAAGTGGAAATATGCAAACCCAGAGGCAATACTCCATATAGATTGTTGTTGGTCAAGTTTCGGATTAAATAATGACCTGCATCATCGCAGATCGCTTCTTCAGTAGGGTGTTTTGTGAACCAGTCACACTCTCCAATCTCATAGCTAAGCCAGTTGTCGTTCTGGAACCACTGGTCCCCTGCAGTTGCAAAATACATTGCTGCCAATGCAAACCTTTGATGTTTCCGCCAATCTGGGTATTCCTCAAAGTTTGGATCTTCCAGGAGCCAAGCATTTGCCTTGTATTGGGGACTGGTGACATTGTTTTCGATGTTCTTGATGATCTGTCTGTGTAACTTTTGATCAAAAGGTTGGAAAAGGGGTGCTGCTGTACCGGTATTACTGATTGGAGACAACAAAAAAACATCATCGTCATCCACAGGACTTCTTTGTCTTAATCCAAAGGTGAGCCCTGTTGTAATGGCGCAGCAAAGGATCAATGACACGACGAAAGCAACAACAATTCTCTTTTTGTTGGTACTATCGGCTGCTTGGTCGGCGTTACGCGCTGCTTGGTCTGACAACCTTTTAACATCCAATGCAGCTTCCAGATCTTCCATGCGATAACGACTTGATCTTCTTCTTCCCGGTGGAGTCCTTTCGTTTCCGGCGTTATTTTGGCTGCTATTGCTGATGCCAGAGGGATCATCTGACAACGGAGATGTCTCTTCATCGAATTGGTTGCTGTCTTCCACCAGAAATGCCGAAGAAACAAAACCTGCTGTGCCCATGCTCATTGCAGTACCCAAGCTCATTGTACCGGATGGCTGACCCCACATGACAGTGCCCTCATCCTCATCCTCTCCAGCATTTAGATTCCGGTTCGACATGGCAATTCCTTCAATTGGAAATGCACCAGGCAAGGATTCGCGTCTTGGAGCCTGGCCACTCGCGGTTGCTGCGTCTGCGTTCGTCCCTACAGCAGCTGCCTCTTCATCAGTTTGACGTGACTGGTTGGCATTCACATTCGAATCTGGAGCTGTACCACTGGTGCTACCGGTACCAGCCGAAGTGTCACCCACGCTCTGGGGGTGTTCTTGGATCGGTAGCCCCGCAGCAATTAAAATCTTGCCCCGAAGCCGATCTTCAAATGTCAGCACTTCGTTGGGGACCGAATCCTGCTCGCCGGAGTCACTACCGGTAGATCTAGCAGCCCTGGCATGATTGGTCGGCTCTAGAGTTGCCATACCGATCTTGAGACTTATCAAAGCCTCTGATGCTTGGACGCTGCTGGGCATTCTTTCCATACTGGTAGTATCTGGAGGCACATCTGCGCTCATTTCATCGTTACCCTCCTGAAGCCCATCTTCAAAAGTTTGCACTTTACTGGGGACCGAACCCCACTCGCCAGGGTCACTACTGGTAGATCTAACCCCAGCATGATCGGTCCGGTTGCCTGGAGTTGCCATACCGATTTTGAGACTCAACAAGGCCTCGGATGATTGGATGCTGCTGGGCATTCTTTCCATACCGGAAGTATCTGGCGGCGCATCTGCTCTCTGTTCATCCTTACCGGTATCCGCCACAAAGGGAGGTTTCACTTTGGAAGATCCAGTGGAATTTACAGCATGGTCCTTGCTGCCGTTGTTATTATTTCTGCTCATGGAAGCAGCATTATTGGCGGTTCCTGTTGGCCCTGGACTGGCCGCACAAATCTTGAGATGAAGAAGATTCTCTGATTCCAGGATACTGCTAGGCATCCTTGCAACTGGAGAGGTTTCTTCCTTGGTCTCTTTCTCTGCCAGCATTTCATCATCTATCATCGTACTCGTTCCTGGAGGGGTAATCGTGCCAACAGTATCAGCCAAGAGTTTTTCTTGCTGGTTGGGTCCTGTGTCCTCCGCTTCAGCTTTATGGCCATCGTTGCTGCTATCCTTTCGCGAAGCCATGGTCGTACTAGCTAGCTGGCCCAGCGTAATAATGGGCCCGTTGTGTTGTGGAGACAATGGTCGATGGTGAATGAATAAGGAGGAGCGAGAGCATCCGAGCAAGAGCGCAAGCAAGGTGCGAGACAGACTGCTGCGAACAAACACCAACCACGTTATTATTTTAAGTGTTCCAACCACAGGGCAAAAAATGCATGCAATGAAAAAAGTTGCAGCAGCCATGCCAGTACCGGTACCGGTAGCCCCAATGAAGCAATATTTGGGTCTCTACGCATACGGACTGGCCCTCCGGTGCAGATTCATTTGACAATTCCAAAATTCGTTTTGTCCAAACCAAAATCAGAAGCAGTCATTTCTAACATAAATAGTCATTTCAAGAATCCTGCATTGAAATCAATGGTTCTCACAAAGAAACAATTGAAGAAAATAAAATGCATTTTATCACCATGGAAACAGTGTTGACCAAATGGCTATTAGCTTTACCAATACATTGAGATAGCTAATGCTTTCAGAGGACTAGCTCCCCAACACACTCACAGACACTCCTCTTCAAAAGCATTAGCTATCTCCAAGGTTTCCTATGGAGCCTCAATGAAAAATCAGGCTTGGATTGTATTTTGTTGTCATTTCACCATGGATTTCTCCATGGGAAAGGTCCTCCAGTCCTTACTCTTAGCACCCAATCTGCACTGCAGAGAGTGGTGGAGGACTGGGTGGCTTTGCCTGAAGACTGGAGCGCCCATCCAAAAGATTGAAAAGGAAATTGTTGGCTCACTAATGGCAAAAATTGAGCAGATTGATTTCATGTTTGTATTCAGTCAACAAGTCAAATAAGTACCGGTAGTAGAGAAGCTGCCGCTTGTTCCCTTTGTAGTAGCAACAGCAGGAGCCTTGTTGATGGTGCCTTGTTGTGTGTCTGCCGGAAGAGTTGTCGTGACCGGAAGATGCGTCGATTGATCGTCGTCGCCGGAAGAAGCATCGATCAGTCGATCCATTAATCGCTTCAATCGCTTCGATTCCTCGCTCCGATAGATCGAACTCTGCATAGAGTTGTTTGCATAGAGTAGTAGCCGCTTGTTGCGGGCGTCACTCCGTGAAATAGGAGGCGTCATGGTCGCTCCGTGTCAACATGGTCGCTCCGTGGAAGAAGAAAGAAGTCATCCACCGAATCGATCCGTCGGACGAGAAGCTCCTGCTGCTGCCGCTTTCGAGCCTATCCAAACAAGAGGAGCCTGTCATGGTGGTGAGTAGTAGCCTTTGTTAACAGGAGTAGCCGCTGTATCATCTTGATAGAGTCGAGTGGATAGAGCACTTCCCAAAGTTGGATGGAAAGAATGAAAAAGAGTACAGTCGTACACGCTACTGGTACTATTAATAGTGGGGGGGCCAGGGATGTAATCCTCTAAGGCTTTTTCTGAGTAAACTAAGTCTTCTAGTCCTGATGTCGTAGTTCGCATTCGAATGTCCTAGCGGGGCCGTGCTTGCGTTTGCGTCAATAGCTTCGATACAGCCTGTATGTCCCCTTTGAAGATGACTTGAGACATTTACAGCTTTTCTGACGGCTGTACCGGCTACTGTAAACGTGATGTACTTCTAGAATTCTTCAGCTAGATATTTAGAAGGGTGAAAAGAACCCATAATTAAGAACCAGTTTCCGAAGATTGTACGGCAATACTCCACTAATGTCTACTATTAATAGAGTCCTCGCTGGGTGGATGGGTAGCTGATTGGTAAAGATTTTAAGATTTTTAGCTACATCATAGATCATAGGATCATCAGTTCGGAGTGCTAGCAAGTACCAGTACTGGAGTAGGCAGTTTCTTGATCCATGAAATAGAAGAATATTATGGAGGTGAGCAACCTGGCATGGTTGTTCACAAGTAGAAGTATCCAAATGAAGGTATACAATCACAAAAAGATCCCGTGGGAGCCGTCTGCTGTGTCCAGCTGACTAATGAATGTGCCCAACCCAAGGTTGCAAAATCATCGCTCAACAGCATTGGAGGGCATCACTACAGTTGGCTTGCACAACAGTTTGGTCACGACAAAGAGACTCGGGGATTGCGCCTGCAATCATTGTATCGGCAATGTCCAAAAGGGCAAGACTGTCAAAGCCAGACCCAAAACTGGAAGGAATGTCTCCTGTAATGGCAGTACCAGAGACATCAAACACTTGTAGTGCAGTCAATTGGCTGTATTCTGTGGGGATGGTCCCTTTGTAGTTGTTGTGTCCAAGTCCCAAATAGGTCATCTTGGTGAGCCCCCCAAACTCTGTAGGGAGGGTTGGGCCAAAGAAGTTGTTGGTGAGATTGAAAAGTTCAATACGTGGAAACAATTCAGGTGGAAACTTCAAATCTCCTCCAAGTTGGTTGGAATCCACCCTGCATGTTCGTAACCAAGGCGAACTGACTCCAGCTTCTGCAGTAATGGCTCCACCTATGCTGTTGTTGGACAGGTCAATCGCTTCCAGGGGTGCCTTACTTATACAGCTTGGAAAGGTGCCTCGCAATTGGTTGTTGGAATAGTCCATGATCTTGGCTCGTGGGAGGCTTGCTCCTTTGGGTCCCTCACCATCTAGGTTGTTGGAAGTCAAGTTTACCACGAGGATGTGGCCTTCTTCATCACATATACCGTATTTCTGGCCGTGTTTTGGGTGAGCTGACCACCACTCACATTCATCCACATCGTACCTCATCCAGTCATCGTTTCGAAACCAGTTTTCCCCATTCAATGCATACCATCTCATTGCATGGGTAAACCGCTGGTGTTGCTTCCAAAAGGGGTACGTATCCAAGAACGGATCCTTAATCATCCATTCATTGGCTTTGTAATAGGAGCTGTCTGGATCCTCTCTGATTGCTGCCTTTACGGCATGTTCCATGCCAGTTTCATTGAAGATTGGATATCGGAAGAAGGCAGTCGAAGCTTCAGTGACAACTTCTGAAGCGTTCTTCTTGTCGAAGCTCACTGTGGCATTGTTGGCGGTAAAGGTGCCATCCGCATTGGATTTGCTGTCATTCTGCAACAAGAGCCACAGAATCAATGCCAAGACGGCACCAAACACAAGGAGCATCACAGCCCACCCAAACTTGGAGTTGGGGCGGTCACTATCCTGCTGCTTGCGATCCGCTGTTGACTCTGAAATGCGATGTACATCCAACGCTTCTTCAAGATCTTCTGGGTGAAACACATCGACATCCTCATCATCTGAATCACCGGAGTCTTCCTTTTCCTGCAGGACAAGATACGAAGACAAGGCAGGGTCGTCACCTGAATTGATTGGTTCTTCCTCTGGCAAAAGACCGCGGTCTGATGATTCTGTGACGGATCCTTCCTCCTCAAACATCTCAGAATCCGCGGGAGCGTCGATTCCGGCTACCCTGTAGGCACCCGGAATCTCGTGGCTGTCGTCAATATTCACATCACTTGCTGTCGCCAGAGATGGGGCAGTGATAACATCATAGTTGTCGGCGGAATCATGGCGTATCGAGCTGGCATCCCTCTTGGCTGGATGGAAGCTTAGCGTGCTTTCGACGCGATTGGTAGCACCGTTATTAGAGCTGGCAGCCTCTTGCTTCTTCTGGAGAAGATCTTGCTCCACCAAACTGTTCTCCCACCGGATTCTTGATATGTCGCTACCGGTACTATGATCTGTCAACGTGGCGGGTTCCAGATGCTCGGCAGCTTGGTGGTCTTCATCCGTAGCGTTGTTTCGAAGCAATCCAATTACGTGCTTATCTACTAGCACCTCTAGGAGATCCGACTTGCGCCTCACTGGCTCTAAGGGTTCTTGGGTTGGGCCCTGAAGCTTCGAGAGTTTTGGTTTCAGTCCGTCCATCATTGACGGGTGATCGGTGCAAGGGTCTGCTCGGTCCGGTTGCTCCAAGGGAAGTCGATTAGGAGATTGATTGCTGTCTCCTTGTGCTTTACGGCTCCCTCTCGCCGACTGTTGCTACTCGTATCATGCAACATGCGGCGTTATTAATATCGTACCGAAGTGTGAGTGCAAAGCAAAAAGATCACGAGAGATGCGAACACGCTTGATTGAAAGAGATAAGGAGGCCTTGGCGCAGCACAAGCAAGGATTGTTAATTTTAATAGTGATCCGTTGCAGTTGGGAGTGGGGTGCTTGAAGAGATTTAATGTCCTGGTTGCCGCCAGGTGACTATAAATATGTCATGGTGACATGATTCGATTCATCCGTGGACCGGTAGGATGGACGAATGATCAATCAATTCGAACAGGTTTGATCAGTATAATATGATCCCTCTACCCGTATCATCGAATGGAACAATCAACGGCTCTGGAGCTCTTCCCAAAGTAAGCTTGACCTGAGTTAGAGCATTGTACAGTAGCTGGCTGCAATGCTGCAATTAGCTTGGACTTTCATTTTTGCGATGCAAATGTTCTCTGAGATGCTTTCAGTCAAAAGCATGTTACCCCAGGCAGAGGTCCAGCTCCTTTGATGCCTTCAGTTGTCCTAGCTCTACCGAGGTAGCGTAAGGAACCCCCAAGCTATTGTAAGCAAGGTAGACTTTGAAACTTTCCGAGCTCACTGTATATTATGCCCCCCACCTTGTTGCCTGTGAGATTCAGAAGCTGATTCAGAAGGGGGAAATCAAAGTATGGGTTCCTCAAACTAGCCTCAAACTGGTTGTTGACCAGTTTTCCAATGCACGCACAGAAGGGCATCAACCACTCCAAGCTGCACGAAAGGAAACCCAGCTATTGTTGGACACAACAAAAACTGCCAAAATGTACTTGCCCATTCCTGGAGGAAAAGTGGTTGTGGGAAAGATTCAAACCCTGAAGGGTTGGGAAGGTTGATTGGGAGGGGACCTGTCCATTCTGATTGTTTTTGTCAGGTTGAACATGATTGCATTCAGGGAGCTCGTCAGCTTCATTCCTGGGATGAGCTGAAAACCAGTTAAACTCAAAGCACGCAATAGCTTTGCCAGTTATCATTGTGAAGCCAATTTGTTCATCCAGAACAAAGTGCCTCGACACAATTTTAAACCGCTGTAGCTGTCGCCATTCAGCATAAAAGTGTCCAAGTATAGATAGATCATTCAACATCCACATGTGGCTACCTGGATCAGCGAGGAAGACTTTGGCTCTTTCAAGGTGCGGTATGCCAATGGCAGCAGCTTAGCAGCTTGCCGTGGTCCCAGAGGGGTCTTCTTCCTGCATTGGGTAGATAATAGATAACTTGTGCAAGCAAACTGGATCCAAGAGGGTGCTCCTTTTGTTGAAGTGGTTGGCGGTTGATGAAGGACACAAAAAACAGATAAATTCTTCTGCCGCAGCAATGCTTGGCTCGGTAGCAAACGGGTCCTCTTTAGTGTTGACGATGGATGACAACTCATGGCTCATTAGATGACAACGACTGCTGAACGTCTAGCAAGCAGCAGCGTCCAAACGGAGGGTGGGGAGTGGTTTTGACAAGGACTATTATAGGTCGGTATGACCAGAATGGTATGGACGTATGGACGCATGCGGCGATGAAGGTAGCAGCGTGCAGCGTGGTCAACACTTGCTTGCCTTGGCTTGTACCGCGAGGAAGTCCATTTCAGAGAAATAATGCCTCGTCAGCTGCCTCTTTGAGGGTGAACCTGTCCACAGAAATTGTCCATGATGCACTGTCGATGCAGGAATTGCACTTAAGCATACCGGTACATGTACTCCTTCTTCTATAGTGCAACTGCTCGGAGTAGTAAGCATGGTACAGTACTTGCTGTAGCACATACTCCACTTTCCTCTCCACCATCTTCTTTTCTCCCTTCCAGCGGAAAAGACCGGTTAAGTACAAGAATGTGCAATTGCCGTCCTCTATCTTTGTAACTTACGGAAACTATTGTGATTATGCAGTGTTGAAGTAAAGTCGGATCAAGAATTAATGACTTGACTGTCTGGTCGCGTACTCGAGTACCCTTTTGGATGCTGGGTTTCTCCAACCTTTCGACCCTCGCCAGCTCCACAGTGGGAAACAGCGAGACCCGTGCCCAATTTCCTTTGCCTGTGTTGTACATCTTTGCAGCTTGAGAGAAACACTCAGCCCTTGACCAAGCAGGAAGGAGGCAGACATAAAGATGGATCGACGAGTAATCGAGCAAATTTTAGATTATACAGGAAAGTTCCTCAATCGTGCATGACCTTTAAATCCGACCCTAATTTAGGGTCGGTTTGGGGAAACCCGTCCCTAAATCCGACTGAATTAGGGTCGTTTTCGAAACCCGACCCTAAATCGAAACCCGTCCCTAAATTAGGGACGTTTTTTCAGAAACCGTCCCTATTTTTCAGAAACAGTCCCTATTTTTAGGGTCGGTTTTCAAACCCGACCCAAATATTGGTGCGTTTTCAATGTATTTACCATTCAGTCCCGTTTCGATTTAGGGACGTTTTTCAAACCCGACCCTAAATCGAAACCCGTCCCTAAATTAGGGACGTTTTTTCAGAAACCGTCCCTATTTTTCAGAAACTGTCCCTATTTTTGGGTCGGTTTTCAAACCCGTCCCTAAAGGGAACCCGTCCCTAAATCCGTCCCAAGAATAGGGTCGGTTTTTGTTAAGGCATGCACGATTGAGGAACGCTCCAGAGGCCAAGGACAAAGAGGGGGAAAAAGTCCAAAGCGAAGCTGCGAGCGAAGATTCTAGCAATACCCTATCCAAGCCAAATGAGGCCGTCGATGTTCATGCAGCCGCAGAAAAGGTACAGGAGGAGAACATTGTCGTCAAAGGACAGGAGGATGCCACTGCTGCTGACAACAATCAAAGTCCAGAAGTACCTGTGACTCTACAATCTGCCGAAGATGCACTTCTTCAAGAAGTCAAACTCCGAAATGCAGCATCTGTGTTTGTACCCCCTCTGAAACCTGCTGCACTGAAGAAACCCCAGCACAAGCAGCAGGAAGAAAAGTCTCATCCCCAACCAGCTCTTACAACACAGGAACACAATGCATTAGCGGCTTCAGTGCAGCGAGAACAGCGCAAAAGCTCGGCACTGTGATCACCCTCTTTCTAACCCTGCTGCACTGAAACTCCAGCAGAAGCAGCTGGAAGAATATTCTCATCCCCAGCAAACTCTTACAACACAAGAACACAATGCATTAGCGGCGTCAGCACAGCGACAGCAATTCAAACTTGACACTGTGGTCACTACAAACGCTACCGCTAACGGTGACGGAAACTACCCAAGTATTGACCGTGATGAAAGTAACCAATCATATAATACTACTGCCCTGGGCCAAGAAGAAAATTCAACCTTATCCGCCAATGGCACCGCTAGCACAGCAGAGACCCCCGTTGTGCAATTGATGCCAGGAGCTTATCCAGTGCGTGGAATTGATGCTACAGACGACGATGAAGATTTCTCAGTTCTATGGATCAGTGAAATGCAACACAATGAGGGACAGCAAAACCCAGAGACTGCCCAAGCACCTGCACTTCGAACACTCCTCATACATGTTGACTCCCTCCATGGAATTAGGTGAGGTCGTTGATTCCGATGAAGAGGAGGATGATCAAGAATCTCCTGAACTAAACAACTCGATGCGCCAAAGCATGAATCGAAGCAGCAGACGAGCTTCAAGCCGCCGCCTTGTCATGGAAGATTTAGAGGAGGCCTTGGAAGTAAAACCTGTTCCAGGTCCATCAGAGAATGGTGGACATGGCAGTGATTATTCAAAGGAAAGGAAGAAAGCTGTGGCTAGTTGGATCGTTTTGTTGCTCTGTTTTGGTGTGGCATTTGTGGTCACTATTGGCCTTGCCACTGGGCTCAGCAACAAGGAAGACTCCACAATGAAACCTACGGATGTAGACAACACCAGTAGCAGTAACCCAGGAAGCTCCATTACTGCAACGCCACCCCCACTGCCCAGCGAATCAAGCAACACCAGCCCAGGAAATTCCACCCAGGGTGAAATGGTTCTTTATCCTCCCTTTGGTGAAGACCTGGATGCTGATGTCCTGAGGCTAATCAGAGAAGACCCGTCAAGTCCTCAGTACAAGGCCAACGTTTGGATGATGGAGGACCCCTACAGAGAGTCTTATCCACCGTGGAAGCAGCTTCAAAGATTTTCTCTAGCACTCAGGTACATTGGCTTTGATGGAGATAACTGGTTCCGCAACGACAACTGGATGAACTATGACATAGATGAATGTCGATGGTTCAACAAGAATCCTGAGAATGCCACATACCCAGTCTGTGATGACGATGATGGCCACTTGTTGGTCCTCAATCTTACGGCCAACAACTTGAATGGCACTTCCCCACAAGGAATTCATGTCCCCAGCTTGAGAATGCTTGATTTGTCTCACAATGGCATCCATGGGCCTCAGGCCGTAGCCAATGGCGGAGGTGATATGGAGGTGTACATATTGTCCAATAACAGCATGACTGGTGCTTCGAGGACCAAAGCTGGTGCTCAATTTTCAAAATTGCGGGTTCTGAAAATGGACGGCAATAACTTCAACTTTGACCTGAAACTTCCGGGGAGCATATTCCCAGCTCTTGAAGTTCTGAACCTGACTGGAAATAGCTTTGGGCCTACAATTCACCCGCTTTTTGGACAGGTTAGAGTCAGGAGCTGTTGCACTGCTTTGCTTTGTTCGTCCTTGACTCCTCACACATACATACGTACCTTGAACTCACAGAATACAAATCTCAGGTACTTGGGTCTTGGCCACAACTTCTTTGGTGGCACTCTTCCAACAGAGTTAGGACTTCTTACGGGTAAGTCCCTTTGTTCCAACTGCCATGATCAATCAATCAATTCTCACCCATTTGGCTTTACCTCTCAGCTTTGGAAGAACTTGATCTTTCTGGGAATGTTGGTCTTACTGGGTTGGTTCCGGAAAGCTTTGGTTCCTTGGTCAACCTGACAAAGGTTTGACATTTCCAGGACCATGTTGTCAGGAGATGTCCCCGTGGATTTCTGCAGGGATGGCCTGGAAGTGCTGGCCAATTGCAGCATGGTACATCGTACAATGTTGTTGAGGCATCCCTCTTCTGCATGTTGAACATTTGTGGAAGTGGTCTAGATGTTCACCAGTTCGGTTTAGATACCGAATCCGG